GAAGTTGAAGTCCAGGGACTCTTGCCACCTTTGCTAACCGGAAGGCAGGTTAACATGCAGGTGCATCAGTGCCAGAGCTTTGGGGGGGGGGGGCCGGTTCCACCCATCTCTCCATAAAGCCAGAGGCTGTCAGTGGACCTGTACTTCCAGCATTTGGTGCTGCCATTCCCAAGCCCACCCGAAAGGGTGTTCCGTAACACAATGCAAGTCAGGCCTTTGGGTTCCTGATGTGTCTACCCCAACCCAAGCAGGGACTCCACTCTACAATGAAAGAATGGTTAAAACAGCCCTGGCTGGTTTGGCTCAGTGCATGGAGCACCAGCCTGTGAGCCAAAGGGTCACCAGTTTGATTCCCAGTCAGGGCTTATGCCTGGGTTGCCGGCCAGGTCCCCACTAGGGACCACATGACAGGCAACCACACATTGATGTTTCCCTCTCTTTCTCCCTCCCTCCCCCTCTGTCTAAAAATAAATACATTAAATTTTTTTAAAAACTTTAAGAAATGGTTAAAATAGCATGTGGCAGGCCTCTAAAACTAAGCTCTCCTGATTTAGACACCGACCCATATGAAAGGAAAATGGAGCCTCAAAACATCCCTCTTGGTGTGAGGGGGAAAATCTTTTAAGTCAAAACTCATCTGTCGGAAAAGCAGGCCAAGAAGGGGTAGCTGAAGGCAGCAAAGGGCGACATTAGCGCCCGATTCCCTGGCCAGGGCACAGCCTCTTCCCATGGCCTCGTGGGCGAGGACAGCTGGCTCCCTGCCCAGCAGCCAAACCCGTCTGAGGAGTCAGAGCAGCCTCCTGCACAGTCAGTCACAGACACAAAACTCAGCTCACAGCAGAGGTGAAGGGTCTGACATCTGTCACTGAGATTTAGAAATGAAGTCTCTTTGACCTCAGAAAGGACTAGGCTTAAAATGTCGCAGGCGTGAGAGAGAGAGGCCCTGCTCGTGTCCCTGGGCTGGTAAGCAGGAACAAAACCCAATTCGTTCCGGAAGTCCTGGCTGCACGACTTGGTATCTGGACAAAGTCCCTTTACAGCTTCTGGGGAGCCCATCCCCCTCAGGCCCCTGGAGCTCTGGCCTACTGGGGCCCCAGACACCAGTCTCCTTTATAGGGAACAATGATTTGGTGAGATACCAGGGGACAGAGGAGCCAGACTGTGGGGGACTGCGCCCACCAGAAGATGATGGTGCGTGCCGTGGCAACAGGGCAAGACAAGACAATTCCCAGCACAGAACTCCCACCACAGCTCTTGGTGGGGTGCACGGGTGCATGTGGGTTGGAACAGGCAATGCAATACAACAACACAGCATAATGCGGATTATGGAGGGTTAATTTTATATTTATTTAATAATGCAACTTTAAAAAACACACAGAGTGCTGCCCCGGTTGGGTGGCTCAGTTGGCTGGAGCGTTGTCCCATACACCCCCCGCCCCCCAAAGGGTGTGTGTTCAATCCCTAGGCTGCAGATTCCATCGCTGGTCAGACACATATGGGAGGCACCCGATCGATGTCTCTCTCTCACATTGATTCCTCTCTCTCACCATCCCTCCCTCCCTGCCTCCCTCTCTAAAATCAATGGGCATATCCTCGGGAGAGGATTGAAAAACCAAAAATGCAAAGTGCCTTCCACCGTGACTGCCTCCAAATTTAAGATACTGAACTAGGAACACATGGCCTTCTAACTGCTTTCTCCCACACTCGATACACTGAGACTTTAATCCTTGCCAGAAACATGCATTTTGTATTGGATTTTCCCAGTGTTACGTACGGGCACACTGTGGGTCACTGGAAGGATTGACTCAAGGGCCTCAGTGACAGCAGGGCACCAAAATTTAAAAGTGGCCCAGGCAACACAATGTCACGGGCACCCTGCCCTAGCGTTTGCTCGAACGGTAAACCGGTGATGGACAATCTGAGAGCGCAGCATGTTTGGATGCCCAAGTATAAAGGTTTAAGCTAGATTTTGACTTGAGGAGTTTTCCTCTTTATTTATTAACACTCAGAACATCAATTTTAGTTAATTGGCGATCTTATTTTACACAGTAAATGAGCACAAGCTTTGGAATCGGCCTGGGGTTCAAATTTGGGCTCAGCCAATTAACTGCGACCTTGGCTCAATTCTTTGTATAGCTCACAGCCCGAACCCTGTAAAGCATTGTCAATGAACTTTGCTTGTACCAGCAATTCCTTTTCAGTCAGTATCTAATCCCTCGTCTATTCTCAGTGGTCACAGCCAAAATGAGTTCAAACCACATGAATCAATAATGATCCTGAACCTTCTTCCTCCGCGCCGTTGGAGAAAGGGGGCAGCAACACAATTCCAAGCTGATCGAGGCCTCACTACCTATGAGGTCATGGAAACCATCTTTCCAAGGGACCAAACAATTTGTCCTGAAAAAGCTAAGAAAATATATAAAAAGGTGGCCATTGAAATGAAAATCGCAGTGAAAGAAATGGGACTTTAAAAATGAAAACAGGCAACATAACACACGTTCTGTTTCTGAAGCGTCTTTGGCATCTGTCCCGGCCCCGCTGCCCACACTGCGCCAGCTCCGTGGCCCTCACCACCTCCCCCAGGGCCCCTCCACCCATCTCCCACACCAGCACCCGTCCCCCACACCAGCATCCACCGCGGTGGGCCATGAAGAGGTGTGGGCTACGAAACGCCATGCGTGCCCTTCTGTGTAAACAGCATGCACAGCTGAGTTCATCTCTCTGGGTGTGTACAGAAAACCTCATAGAATAAACCCAAAATGTTCAGAGTGGTTCTGTAACATGTGGTCCATTCTTTTTATAGTTTGGTAGCTTCTGAGAATTGGAGAATATTATTAATTTTGTAATCAGAACAAAATTAAAGCTAGCTGTTAAAAAGAAAAAAGAAAGCAAGCTTTCAATGGTATTCTATTGCAATCAGGAAAAAGTCCAACCTGACATTTGAGGTCCACCACCCGTGACCCCAGATTACATCTCCAACTCGATCTTCGGACTCCTGTCCTCAACTGAAACACACCAGACACTGCTTACCCCAAAGTCAGCCTTCGCCGCCCAGCTCCCTGGTATCACGCCTGCCTCCCGAAGACGTCCCCCTAGAGCCGACCTGCTGCCGGTGCCTGGGGCATCGTTTCATGTGGACACGCTGTGTGTTTCTCTCCTTCACTAAATGGTAATCTCTTCAAAGACAGGGGCCTTCTTCCCGGGTACCTGGCTCACTGCCTTGCACCCAAAGATTGTCAATAGATGTTTGTGGAAATAAGTTACAGGAGTGAAGAGGACAATACACCTGGGGCAGGTGCAGAACACTTTAGAGAGCTCCTAAAGAAGGGGTGATGTTAGACCGAAGCGCCAGCTGATGGCAGCGATCCTTGTATGTTGAAGACACGGACATCCTCCGAGGGTGTCATCATCATTCACATGTAGAGGGCTTAATATCACAGGGTAAGTCACTCCTAAAGTTCTCCTTTAAATGAGAGATGTACCTTCTTGCTTTGTACCTACGTACTTAAACTACAAGGATACAATATCGACTATGAAAAACTAGTTGCCTGAAAATGAAAGCGCTATCAGAAAACACCAATTAAAAGACAAATGATGAATTGGGAAAATATTTACAACACAAATAATAAAGGGTTAGGAACACATGTTGTTTTCCCAATTCTCAATAATTTCCAAACTGTAAGAAATTATTAATAAATGGGCAACCAACAAAAGAACAAATCCAAGTAGATAATAAATAAGAGGGGGAAAGCTTAACTTATTAGTAATAAAATGGAAATTAGAGTGAGATAACACTCTTTTGTCTTTCAAATTGACAAATTAAAAAATATTACTCAGTGCCGGGGTGAAAGGCAAGGTATTTTCATGAGGCTGTAACTTTCCTGGAAAACAATTTAGCAGTAAGTTTTAAAAACAATTAATTCCCATTTGCCCAGTAATTCTACTAATAGGATTCTATACTAAGGAATTGATTTTAAAAATGTGCACACAGTTTTATATATGAGCAGCACTGTTCATAAGAATTAAAAACTAGAAACAGTACCGATTATCAACCATGAGAAAACAAAGTGTGATACTACGTTTATGCAATGCTCACACTGAAAATCATATATATATTTTTAAAGTTTTATTTCTTTTTAGAAAGACGGGGAGGGAGGAAGAAAGGAGAGAAACATCAATGTGTGGTTTTCTCTCCTGCGCCCCCCGCGATGGACCTGGCCCACAACCCAGGCACATGCCCTGACTGGGAATCCAACTGGTGACCCCTTGGTTCACAGGCCAGCGCTCAATCCACTGAGGCACACCAGCCAGGGCTGAAAATCATATATTTTTAAAAGAATATTGTCATTGGGGGAAATGCTTGCAATAAAATTTAAAGTGAGGAGAAAAGATTAAATCATATGCATTCTGGAAACAGGACTGAAGACAGAAATGGCCTCTGGGAATGAGGAAAGGGGAATCCTTCTCATTTTATCACTCTGTTCTTCTTTTCAACGAGTAATAATATCGGTAGTGGCTATGTGTCTGGTAATCATTTGAATGTTTCCTGTGGGCCGAGCACTGTTCTTCTGGGTGTTTTGTGTTTATTTTCTCACTTAACCCCCCAGCTGCCCAGTGAGGTAAGTACCACACTATCATCATCGCCCTTTACAGGGAAGAAAGCCGGGGCACAGAGGGGTCAAGCCTGAGGCAGAGCTAGGATCCAAGCTCGGAAGTTTGACTCCCGAATCTTGCTCTCTCTAACTATAGTACTATGGTACAGTGCCTCTGGCTATATATTTATAGTGCTGTGTTTGTAAACTAAGAAATGGATCCCACCTTTGTCCTGGTGGTTCTCCCTCCCCCCAGCTACATAACCTGCCGATCACTTCAAGTTCTTGCTTCGTGGTGACCTTCACAAGGAGTCCTACCCTGAGCACAAGGTTCAAAATTGCAGCCTGCCCCTCCTCTGTTTCATTCTGCTTTATTGTTTGCATAGTGTGTATCTGGCATAATATACAGCTTTCAGAGTCCCGGTTTGATTCCGTGCACCGCGCCACCACTGCGCCTCGCCCCACCACCAGGTGAGCTCCGCCGCGTTAGGCGTTCCCATCCATCTTGCAGGCCGATGGGCGACGTGTCACAACCTGGGAAGGTGCTGGCACAAACACGGTGCTCCACATACATTTGCAGATTAAGTGAAGTTTTAAAAATACAGCATGATTGCAATTTTGCACTCTGATTTTAAAGCATAAACATGTGTACCATGTATGGGGAAAATAAAATATTTCAAAACATTAATGGTGATTTCAAGGCATACTCTTTCTTCTTCTTTATATTTTCCTGTGGTTTTATTCCAATGTGAAAATGTATTATTTTATCATGAGAAAATTGCTTTTTAAAATGTCTCTTCTAAACGTCAGGAACATACACTGCCACGCACAGCAAATATCTTAGCTGTAAATTGCATGGAAGGCATTCGGCTATTGGGGAGACACTGATGGTCTTTAAAGACATGGCTGCTTTTAAATAATTGCCCAGTATTTTGTGGTGGTTAAATATTTCTTACAGGAATAAAATCCTAGCCTCGTGAGTGGACCGCGCACCCCTGGGGAACACACCCACCTAGCAACGGGAGCCGAGCTGCAGCCTGGCGCTGCGCCTTTAATTCCCGGGTTGGGGTGGGGCTGTGGTGGAGAATTTCCGCTCCCCCAAGGCCCTGGTGGCAGCTGTCACCTGTAAAGCGAGCACCGAACGCGGGGGATGGAGCCCGGCGCCCATTGGACAAAGTATAAAGGCAGAAACCTACCCCGAAGACTGGGGGCCGGCGGGGCAGCGGTGGTGGGAGCGCACCGCGGGCCCCGTGCCTCCCCCCCCCCGCGCCCCCACACCCCGGCCCCGGAGACTCCCAGGCTCTGCGGCGCTGACTTGACCGCAGTCCAGCTTCGGCCACACGCCCGCCCAGCCTCCGTGGAAACGACCAGGTGAGCCTGGCCGAGGCGGACGTGACTCCCGGAACGCCGGCTCCGGCGCGTGCTAGCGGGCGCCCGGCGGTCCACCTGCCGCAGCAGCCCCCGGGGAGGCTGGTGGGAGAGGCGGCAAGGGGCAGACCCTGGCCATGGCCCTGGCCGCGGCAGCGGCCGCGGCGGCCGTGGGGGTGAGCCAGGCGGCGGTGCTGGGCTTCCTGCACGAGCACGGCGGGAAGGTGCGCGACTCCGAGCTGCTGAGCCGCTTCAAGCCGCTGCTGGACGCTGGCGACCCGCGCGGCCGCGCGGCCCGCAGGGACCGCTTCAAGCAGTTCGTCAACGACGTGGCCGTGGTGAAGGAGTTCGACGGCGTCAAGTTCGTGGTGCTGAGGAAGAAGCCGCGGCCCCGAGAGGGCCCAGAGCGCCTGCCCTCCTGCGTCCCCAGCACCGCCGAGCCACTGGCCCCGCCATCCAAGACCACGTCCCTCTCTCACGTGGAAACCGCTGCCTCCGGGGCTCCATCCTTGGCCTCGGCGCAACTGTGTGTGGATGCACCTGGGGACCTGGACCCTCCCTCGGAGCCACAGGTCACTGCTGGGGCGCCGGCCTCTGAGCTCACTCAGCCGACTGCGGAGCCGTTGTTAAGCCCCCCGACCCAGCAGTCAGGGGGGCCGTCCGACCCGGGGCTTCCAGCCTTGGAGCTAGCCCACCCCTCCGAGGACCTCTCTGCAGACGTGGCCGCACCGTCCTGGACACCGTCGGAGGCGGCCTTACTCCACGCAGAGCCGCCTGACCCAGAATCGGGGCCTGGGGCGACAACAGGGCCGCCGCCACCCCCGCGACGCGCGCCTCCGCAGAAGCCCTGCATGCTGCCGGTGCGCTGCGTCCCGGGCCCCACGACGCTCCGAATCCGAGCGGAAGAGCAGGGCCTGCGCCGGCAGCTGTCGGAAGAGCCGAGCCCGCGGAGCTCCCCGCCCCTACTGCGGCGGCTCTCGGTGGAGGAGTCCGGCCTGGGCCTCGGCTTGGGCCCCGGCCTGGGCCCGGGCCGCTCCCCGCACCTGCGGCGCCTGTCGCGGGCCGGCCCGCGCCTGCTGAGCCCCGACACCGAGGAGCTGCCGGTCGCGCCTCCGCCGTCCACCGTGCCCCTGGAGCCGGCCGAGCACGAGTGGCTAGTGCGGGCGGCCAGTGGCCGCTGGACCCACCAGCTGCACGGGCTGCTGCTGCGCGACGGTGGCCTGGCCGCCAAGCGCGACTTCATGTCTGGTTTCACCGCCCTGCACTGGGCCGCCAAGAGCGGCGACCGCGAGATGGCTCTGCAGCTGGTGGAGGTGGCGCGGCGCGGGGGCGCGCCGGTCAACCTGAACGCGCGCTCGCACGGCGGCTACACGCCGCTGCACCTGGCGGCTCTGCACGGCCACGAGGACGCCGCGGTGCTGCTGGTGGGCCTGGGTGCGCAGGTGCACGTGCGCGACCACAGCGGGCGGCGGGCCTACCAGTACCTGCCGCCGGGCGCCACCTACGCGCTGCGCCGTCTCCTGGGCGACCCCGGCCTGCCCGGCTCCGCCGAGCCCACTGCGATCGGCGGTGGCGGTGGCAGCCTCGCGGCCCGGCGCCCGGTGCAGGTGGCCGCCACCATCCTAAGTTCCACCACGAGCGCGTTTCTGGGCGTCCTGGCTGACGACCTGATGCTCCAGGACCTGGCTCGAGGCCTGAGGAAGTCGGGCTCGGGATCCTTCGCCAAGTTCTTGGGGGCCTCGCCCATACCTCCTCGTAAAAAGACGAAGAGCCGCGGTGGCGTGCCGGCCTTTTCGGAAATCTCTCGTCGATCCACTCCGGGGCCCTTCGCTGGTCTAATGCCCAGCCTGCCCCCCGCCACCTGACAGTGGCTGAGGCTCCGGCTCGGTTGATCTAGCTGGGCCTGCCCCTCACACATCTAAGCTTGCCCGCGGCGGCGGCCCAGCACTTTCCCTCCATCCGGTTTCCAGCCTTGTCCACTGCAGTCTGTTTCACCCAGGGGAGCCCACGCCTCCAGCTTCTGCTGAAGCTTCACCTGTCTCTGGAGCTTTGAGATCTCAGTGAGCGTCCTTTGAAGTCCGCCAGAAGTCAGGCTTGAACTCTGGGAGAGAACTGAAATTCAGGATTGAAGGTTAAGGGGTGCAGCTGGTCTGGCCCCTGAGTGAGCTAACCCAGTGCCTCTGCTTCGGTACACTCCCAGACCAGGACCAGCGGCAAGGGCCTCGTTCGGTGTTGTGTGAGGTCGGGTGGTCGGCCAGCTCTAAGATACCAGTGGTTTTGTACCTTGATGCTTTTATCCTGTTTTTAAATTGAAATGAGGCAAAGCAACTTTTATAATAACCTTGTGAAATTATATTTTTCCATATTTTAGGCAAAATGCTCAGATATTTTTGGTCTTTGGTAAAGATTTTGGAATTCTATTAAAAAAAAAACTAATGATCAGTATTTCAAAGAAATTGCCCAAGCTGGTGTGGTTCAGTGGGCTGAGCGCTGTCCTGCCAAGCAAAAGGTCACCATCAGGGCATGTGCCTGGGTTGTGGCTCAGATCCCAGCTGGGGGCTTGCAAGAAGCAACCAATTGATGTTTCTCTCCCTCTCTATCTCCCTCCCCTCCCCTATCTCAATAAATAGATAGATAGATAGATAGATAGATAGATAGATAGATAGATAGAATCTTTTTTAAAGAATCTAAAAGAAATTAGCCCCAACCGACAAAACCCTTAAACATTTATCTACCTCGTTTTAGGCAACGAAGGTCCCAGAGAATCTTGGACACAGAACACGACCATTGTAAATGGAATTACATTTACTGGTACTGTGAATGCTAAATATAGGAAACAAGTGCATCTTGGGAGAAAAGGCGATTTAACAAAAGAAAAGAGACATTTGGACAGATACTTTTAATTAGTGGTTTTCTTTATGGTGGAATATAAACACATGTCTTTGGCACTGGTGGGTGGCATTTTGATTTAGCATGAATATCTCCTTAAGTGTGTTTTGTGTGAATTGCACTCATACTACGTTTCTGAATTTGTGTCTTTTTCAAATCTGGCTGAGCCTTTCAATAAAGTATGTAAATATTCCAAGTTGGGCCACAACTAAAAAAAAAAAAAGTTATAGCATCACACCAGAAAAATAACTAGTAAAATAGTACTGGATACAATGAAGGAACAGCTATTATATATGAAAGTTCTGTACAAATAGTGTATGATATCCATTTTAAAAACTCATCTGAAAGCCAGCACTTTATTCCAAAATAGTAGATTCAGAATCTCTTTGCTCAGTGACCTTAGAGGGTTGACTTAACGTCTCAGGATCTTTGCTTCTCTGTAATTGAGAAGGGTCGTAGGTATCACCAAGATTTCCCAGGTTCAAGGCAGTGTGATTATAATGGCTCTTTCTCTGTTTTAAAGATGTGGAATCTATTTGCTCAGCCTTTTTTTACATCATACGGTGGTGATGCCCGCTTTTGCACATGGTGTTTGCATGTCATTAGTTATATCAAATGGCTTCTACAGCACGGGGTAGTGTGGCGCCCCGCCACAGACAGGTACTTGTATCAGTGAGGCCTCTGAAATTATTTCAGGTATGAATAAACTGTTTTGATTTAAGCAATGAAATAAACAGCCTCCCATTTTGTTTCTGTTTGTGTGATGATGTACTTTCCTTGAATCTTCTACAGGTCTTGCCACTATTTTTTAATGATTTTTCCTTTTTACTGACTTTATCGGGGTGACACTGATTAACAAAATTATGCAGGTTTCAGGTGCACAGTTCCACAATGCATCATCTGCACACTGTATTGTGTGTTCACCACCCCAGGCAAGTCTCCTTCCATCACCCTCTATCCCCCCAGGCCTTCTTCCACCTCCCCCCACTCCCTTTGCCTCTGTATTTTTCTTTTCTTCTCCTTTAATTTACTTAATTTCTTCCTTCTCTCCTCATCCTTCTTCTGCCACTTTCAAGCATTCTGTCATTGAAAGAGTTTGAATAGCTCCACAAAGTAAAAGGAGTCAACCATATGTGGCTCTGGTAGGCAAAACTGTAGGTAAATGTAAGCTCTAGTCTGACCCTTCCCACCTTCCTTGCCTGGAACTCTAGCTAAGCTGCATAAATTATTTTAAAATGTAAATGAAATCTTCTGCCTCTGCAGGAAAACTGTGGGAGGCAATAATTATAGCAATCCGAGTGGCTAAGAGACTAAAAGACAATAAAATATTAGAGACTTTCCATGGTAAAAGAGAGGCTTGACTTGACTAAGATAGGTAACAAAGGTCACAAACAGCCATGACCCACCTTGAGAAAGATCAAAATCTAAACCGGAGAGTAATAATAACAATAGCTAGTGTTTATTGAACACTTAACTCAGAGGAGGGTTACTCAAATGACCAGAAAAATCTTCGTGTTGCAAACGGTGCGCTGGGAGCCTTCTAAATGAGGTAAAACATTTGGCAAGAATTTAGAACCAATAAGCCTAAAGCTCAGGTGTTAGAAACCACCACTTTTTCATCGCAGGCCAAGACTTTCTGAAACTATAAGGTAAGTCAGCAGGAAATTATGGATGGAAGTGCATATGGAAGGTTTTCAAGAACCATATATTGCCTAGCAGGAGGTACACCTGTGAGGGTATTTCCAATGACACACATAAGAATGACTGTGTGTAAGTTAAGGCAATTGAGCTGGTTAGAATTCTCACAGGGTTGAGAATCACTCCTTTTAATGGGGAGAATTGTTGATGTACAGTGGATGCCTGAGCCGTGGCCAGCGCGGGCTTTTTATAAAGTTTCACATTTCCTTCACAGAAGGTTGGAAGTTGTCGCTGAGCATGTCCCACTTACTAGTGGAGACCGGGGCGTGGGCAATGCTCACATGACCTATGTTCATTACGTGCCAGACGAGGCTCTGAACGCTTTGCAGGTACTAGCCACCACCTTAAACTCAGGCACTGTTAGCATCTTGATGTTACAGTAAGGAAACCAAAGCCTGGAGAAATCGTCAGCGACTTGCTCACGCCTCACAGCCAGGCAAGAGCCCGAGCTGGCATGGCATCCCATTCCCACTGCTGCACTGCTGCGGAAAAGCACGGTTGGTGGTCTCAGCCTCGGTTCTTCACTCACTGAGCGACCTCAAGCCAGTCACCCAGTTTTCCGATGCCGTCTCCCTTTTCTGTGGGACAAAGGACTGGCAGTACCCACCCTGAAGACTGTGGGGAGAGGGGCATAGGAAATGAGTAGGTAGAGCTGTCTCTGAACTGCAAGCCAACCTGAAATACTAGGAGTTGCACCAAGCTGGGTCCACAGGGGCATCTGGCTGCACTGCAAAAAGAAATAGCTCAGGCTGGCACCTTTGCTTCCCCGTTCTTTTGCCATGTTAATAAACGTGTACAGAAATAACCAACTTTACTAGGAAAAACATATTCCCACAAAAGGGGAATCATTCCATGCTCTTTATGTAATGTGCGTTTAGTTAAAATAGATATTACAATGTCTTTCTTAATTCGCATTCCTGTGGAATCCCTACCCCCACCTCCCAGAACTGGACAGTCGTGGTGCAGCCCTTGGCGCCCAGTTACAAGGTAGGCACACCCAGGACACGCATTCTCCCCTCGTTTGGGCCTTTTCCTGGAAGAAATTATTGTACCGCTTAAAAATGTTTGCTTAGATAAACTCTATTGCTCTCCAGAGAGCTCTTAGCCGTGAACCTCGGTCCTGGCCTCAGCATTCGGAACTGCCACACCTCTGGCCTTGAACCTTGAAGTAGAGGTGGCCTCAGGTGTGACTACTGGGAAGAGGGAGAAGGAGAGGGAGGAGGGAGGGAGACAGACAGACCACAGGGAGGTATGCGCAGGCCTCTCTTCCAGAAAAAAGTCCTCGTAGGAGGTCGACGCTGATTCAAATTTCAAAGACAACAGGTAAACCCACCGTGACCGTCTAAACTGCGGTCGATCTGCCACAACTGCAGGGTGGTTGAGAAGGTTGCGTTAGAGCAATTGCCTCCCCCCACCCCCACCCCTAGCCTCCCGGTTCGCAGGGCCCCTCTGCGGCCCTCAGCTACGGTTGACCTAAATTCCCTCTTAAGCTTCCGATCTGCATGTGAGGGAGCAGCACCGTGGGCTGTGGCGGCGAGGATCCCCGCGGTTTTCGCCGCCGCTCCGGGAGGTACAATGGTGTGCGCAGCCGGCTGTTCACGGCACACGGCGCGCCGCTCTCGGGCACGCGGAACACCGCTTCCCTATTCCGTTCCCAACCGCAGTCTGAAGGTAAAAGTACACTAATTACATCCACATTAGCTGCAGCAGCGAGGGCGGGTGAGGCAAGCCGCGGAGGCGGTCGCAGGGCTGCCTGTTGCCCAGCAACAGCCCCAGCTTCAGCTCGCCCTGGGCAGAGCGTGGAGGCTCCGCTGTCAGCAGCGTGGGCGGGCAGGCGGGGGTTCGGGGACGCGGGCGGATTCTGGAGACGGGTCCACAAACCCCGACCCAGAGTCCTGAGCCCCTGTGTTCCAGCCGGGGGTGGGGACTAAGTAAGACTTCTCGATACTGATACTGGAGATAACAACCCCGGCTTCCCTCCTCCTCACTTCTCACTAACCAGCAACCAAGGAAAGCAAGCCAGCTTTCCCAGGGCTGCCTAGCCAGAATTGCCTTCCGACTGAAGCAGGAAGGCCCAGCCCCAGCCTTCAGGTTCAGCAGCGACACTGCTGTGCAGGGCCAGGCAAAGTCCCAGTGGCTAGCGCAGAGGGCCTGGTAGCTGCGGGGGCTGCAGGTGGGTCAGGTACAGGTAGCAGCTTCAATCGTGAGAACAGTGCCCTCTGCTGACAGTGCCCTGGAGGGTGAAATTCACCGGGCTCCCGGGCCCTGCTCGTCTTTCTTGGTCTGTGGTACCAACATGCAACAGCTATGGTGAGCTCACTCTTGCCCTCTGAAGGAATATCGGAGTGGGAGGGAAATACACCAGGGAAGGAAGGAGACAGAGGCCACATGAAAGGACAGGCGCAGTTGGTGTCCACCTACTTTGGTGGCTCCTCGGATGTGGTAGGGACAAGCAGAGAAGCCTCATTATTTCCCCAGGGCAAAACTCAGCACAGAAGCAAAGTGCAATTTAGCTGGACAATGGCAGATGCTGCTCCCCAGGCCCATCCCAGCCTGGGAGTGCTCTGTCTAAAATACACCGTTTCCACTGGCCCAGGGGACCCCATCAAGTGTCTTTCTAAAAATATCACAACCAGAGAATGCAATGGGGCCTGTACAGGCCAAAAGGCAGAAATAAGCAGATTCCATCTAGAATGCACCCTGAAGCCAGCTGCCCAGCTGGACTGGAGGCCTTGGAGCAGAGGCCCTGCCCAGTGTTCAAAGCATAATGTTAGAACCCGCAACTGCCTCAGCAGGAGCCCCATATGTTTTTTATAAAATGGCACAATGTGAGCATTGTTCTGCGCTCAATAGCACGACTGTTACAACTAATGCTTTTGCTATGAATACGACCACTTAAAATTCCCAACCAGTTGCACTTGGTGACAATACAAATCAGAAAACAAGCCCAGAAGCAGAAATTTCTCACTTTGGGGTCAGTTGGCTTTAAATACACATATACATGCCTTTTAATGTACCCAGGTTCCAAAAATATGCCAAACCTTTGCAAGAACAATGTTTTCCTTGGTGCTTGCAGTTATAAATACTAAAGCTGATTTTCACATGTATATTTGAGAACTTGACATTGGTTCTGTGTATACAGGACTGATGCACAAATAAAGGAGTGTGTGTGTCCTATGCTTCAGCCCCTAACTCCTCCTTTCCAGCCCCAACCCACCCCCAGAGGCGCCTCTAGCACAGCTGAGCTGCCTCTCCAGGCCCCCAGCCCTCACATGATAGGTCTCCACGGCCCCCAGGCCTCACCTCCTGCTCCCACCCCCTAATGCCCTTCTCAAGCCCGCCTGACCCAGTGCAGTCTCTAAAGGAGAACAGGATAAACTCAAGTTTGATAACACAGTTGGAAGAGGAAGGAAGTTCTTAGAATGAATGTCCCCAAATGTCCAAGTGTACTGGGCATTTGTCAGGGTTCTTAGGCAGCAAAGCATCTGAACCCATTTTCCATTGGGGACATTATCCACTGAGTCTTGAAGGGAGGCGGTACCCCACTTCCACTACAGAGGTTGGGGGCTTGGGTAAACCCAGCGAAGGAGGCCTGGGTTCGGCCAATCAGGCCTGGCGTTAGTAGTGACATAGTCCCCAGAATAGTTAGGGATCACTGGCCGCAATGGAGCTGGGGGCCCAGCACCCCCCTGGTCCCAGCTATTTTGAAACCTGGTTGCTCAGTCTTTCAGAGACATCCAGACCTCACTGATACCCTCCAACAAATCCCTCCTCTGCCCTCGGCAGGGAGGGCTGGCCTCTGGGACCAGCAAACAAGATCCTTCCCCAAACTACATTCTGGGTGACATACACACTCCTCACAGCAGTTTTTATTGAGGGAAAAGAGGCTGTTCTGCATCTTAAGTTGAGATTCTGCTTGTCTCCACTCCCTCCAGCCCATTTGGACCAACCCTCTCTCTCATCACAAGAAGAGGGAATACTGCAGTTTATAAAACCCATAAATTAATTACCAGATAATCCACAAGATGTGGGCAAGGCCACATGACACCACTTGGAAGAAGTATCCTGGAAGGGCCCAGCCTGGGTCATCCCCACCCCAGGGGAAAAGCACCCAACAAGCCAGCTTCACCCCAGCAGCATGAGGGAACAGCAGGGGCAATGCTCCCCACCTCCACGCTGTCGCTAAATAAGCAGGGCTGGGAAGGGAGGTTTATGGGGAGGCTGGGTCCCTGTCAGGGAGGCCAGCCTGGGAGATGAGGGTCGATGGGCAAGGCTGCTCCTAACAGCATCCAGTTGGTCCTGAAGGAGCCGAACACGCTCGTCCAAGCTGCGCTGCTGGGCCAGGACGGCAGCCTTGCCGGCCAGGAGGGCACAGTAGGCGCGCAGCTCCCCAGCAGGCAGTGCCTGCACCAGAACCTCTCGAAGGGCCCGCTCTCGCCGTGCCACGTGCTCCTTCAGCTCCCCGGCATCCTCCTGCTGTTGCTGCAGGAGCCTGAGACGTTGCAACAGAGAAGCCTGGAGCCCACAGGGAGAGGTACTATGAACTGGGCGAGCACACCTCACCACCCCACTCTCCACAGCCTGAACCCTTTACCTGCTCGTCAGGGTCGCTGTCTGCCCCTGTCCGGGCCAGGGCACGGTGCACGCGAGCCAGGCGACTGCCCAGTAGCAGCAGAAGGCCAAGCACACGCTCTAGGTCAGCCATGAACCGGATGAACCGCTCTAGGTCTCGGGGTGCACAGGCCTTGCCTACTGAGGCCTCCAGAGCAGCTCTGCGTCTGGCCCAGGTCTGGGCTGCCCCCTGCAGCTGCTCCTGCTCAGCCTGAAGGTTCTGCAGTGCCTTTTGGAGGAGGTCCGCTAGCTCCACCTGCAGGGAGGGCATGGGTACTTAAAGCTAGGGCCAGGCCCATGATGTCTTAGGCCAAACTCCTGCCTCTTGTCCCACCCAGCTTCCACCAGCCCCACCACACTCACTTTCTTAGCTTGGATGCTGCTGTTTGGCTCTGGGAGACCCTGGCCACATGGCTGGTCAGGCACAGTATGGGTGGTAGGGTTTTCAAGCCTCGTTTCTTCCTGAGAAGTTGGCAGGAGTTGTATGCATCTAGAAAGGTGGGATCTGGGGATAAAACCAGCGCTCCCTGGGTTGTCATGCCCCAGGCTGCAGGGACTTAGAATCTCCAGAGTCCCTGGTGCCCCACACTCACCCTGGCTCAGAAGTCCCAGCAGCCTCCTCTCCAGTCTTGCCACAGGCTGGCCTCATGGCAGCCCAGACCTCAGCCAAAGGAATCAGCCCATCCAGCAGATCCAGAGGAGACTCTGGGCTGGGGTAGGAGGTGAGAGTGCCACTCAGAGAGGGATCCAGTCTGGCCAGCTCCTGAACCAGCTCCTCCAAGCGGGGACTGGGCCACGTCAGTTGGGAACCAGGCTGGCCAGTGCCCCAAGCCAGGGCCTCGTCATCTCGAGGCCCTTGGGTGTCATCACCTGGTGGCCCCAAGGCATCCTCTGGGAAAGGCTGGAGGGGGTTGCTCTCTGCAGCAGCAGGGAAGTCAGTCATCAGCAACCCAATGCAGTCCGTGGTTGGGATGTCGCCATTTGCAGTCCCAGTGGGGCTACAGCATGTGGGCCTGGAGACGCTCACACAGCCGTTTACCCCCTGCCAGCGGGCATCTGCCCCTGCAGTCTCCGGGCCCTCGCGGAAGGGGTGTTCTAGGGGGACAGTAGCCCGGTTAGGCCTTTGGCTCAAGCCAGCTCCACATGGCAGGTCAGAGGCATGGACACTGGAAGAGGAAGAGACACTGAAGTGGAAAAAGTTCTGGCTGAAGACCAGGGGTCCTCACCCTACCACCTGGGCTCCCAGGCTCCAGCAGGGGAGGGCTGCCCTCCAGTGTTCTGTAGCTACTACGTATGGAAGTGGGTGTCTCCCTCTGCTTGGAAGCAAAAGAAAACTCACCTGGCTGGGAACCCTGGGCGTACAGAGGAGTCTGGAGGTGATCTCGTTCTGACCGGCTGGGCTTCTTCCAGGAAGACCTCATCATCAGGAAGGGAGGGGAGCCGGACAGACGCAGTGCCGGTCTCCGGGACCCTGTGCTGGCCGTCAGTGGGACTGCTCTGGGGACCCGCTGCAGGACACACCACTGTGGCAGCTTCCTTCTGAGTCGGGAACCTGGAGGCAGAGACCACACGCTGATTACAGTGACCAGGAAGGAAGGATTTGCTTTGCAAAAGACAGCATCAGAAGACACAGAATGAGGGTAGGTGCCAGGTGCTTTGCTCTCTTGGGCAAGAGCTATGAAAGCCCCGCCTCCTGAGAGTGATCCATGTCTCACCTGGGATGTCTGGCTTGAAATAATGGTCTGGGGGGTTCTGCTCCTTGAGGAACGGCCTGGAAAGGCAACGAGATTGGATGAAATGTGGCTGGAGTTTTCAGTCTCCCAGAAGCCCCCGGCCCCAAGCCTTCGGCCCTTCTCTTTCATACCTGGATAATGGGCACGGCCCCTCCGGGACCTCCCCAGGGACCCAAAGCTTCCCCTGAAGCGCTCTGATTCCTGCGGGCAGGTCTGTAGGCGTTGTCGAGCTTCAAGGACCGGGTTTCTGGGTCCCCTGTGCCTCGGGGTGGCCATCTGATCTGGAGACCTTCGAACTCTGTCAACGCCCGATGCTGCAATTCCTGGGGCTCGGGCCCGACTTGGCCAAAGCTGGAGCAGGCCCCACCCAAGTACCCCGAAGTCATCCCAGCGCCCCGGCCCACGCTATCCAGCTTCCCTGGCTCGGAGAAGCACCACTTCTGCTTCGGGTTGGCGAGGCGGCCCCGGCCGGCGGTTCCTGGCACGAGAATCCCGGAGCGCGCCGGTTCCCCCTCGCCGCCTGGGTGGCCGAGCGAAGCGGAGCGCGAGTGCGCCGTCGGGGGCCGCGCGGGGGCCACAGGCCTCAGGCGGGCGGGCAGGCTCATGCGGAGCTCCTTGCGCTGGAAGGACGTCTCCCGGAGGACTCGCCGCTGTGCGCCCTGCAGGCGCTGGCGGTAGGCGGCCCGCGAGGCCGGAGGGCTGGGCGGTTCCGCGGCCCGCGCTGCGGCCTCCGCCTCGGCCGCCAGCGCGTACAGGAGAGGGGTGGCCTGCCTGCTGAGTGCCCCCGGGGCGCCCTGCACCTGCGGGGAACACGGCCCACTGCGGGCGGCGGCTGCGGGCCGGGGCTGCAGGGAGGCGTGCAGGGCGGCAGCGGGCCGGGCGGGCGCCGGGCCGCCCCACACCAGGCGCACGTAGTCCCAGTCCAGGTACGGAAGGAGGTCGCCGCCCGGGGACGGCGTGCGCGGCTCGGCGCCGCCCGAGGCCGCAGAAAAGGAGCCGTAGGCAGAGTCGGCGCGCACGGACAGCCGCCGCAGGTCCAGGCTGTGCGTGGATGAGGCTGAGGAGGCGCGGTCGCGCCCCGGACCTAGGGCCTCCATGGCTGTGCGGGTGAGCGCAGGGCAGGCTAGCTCCTCGGGGCCTTCGAGAACACAGACGCCGTGATGCGCGAGGAGTTCGGAGCTAGAGGAGAGGCCGCTTACACTTCCCCTCTTACAGTCTCAAGCGCTGGCATTACCCCCAGATCAGGGATGGCATGGGCAAGAGGACCAGCCCCAGGGAGCGATTCTGGAGGTGGAGGGCCCCGGCTCCGGGAAAGGAATTGGCCCCTGGCCGGCTCCCCGCTGGGGCTCTCCAGGCTGGCACCCCCTGGAGCGCTGAGAATGCACCCACGCTCCTTCCCTCCCCAGACCTGTCCCACCCTGGCCGCTTCCTGGCGCTTTGTTAGCTTCTCCGTGTGATCTTTCCCGGACGAACAATGGTCCAGAACGTTTTGAGATCACTGGGGAGCCAAGAAAGGGGAGGGGAGGACCCAGGTCAGGTGGTGGGGGCAGCTTCACAGCCCTGCGCACTTTATATAAATATTTATCTTGCTCCTCCCGACTGCTATCTGCATTTCACAGAGGAGGACACTGAGGCTCTGAGGGGAAATGATGTGCCCAGGGGCACACAGCTGCTAGGAGGCAGAGCCCTGCCTGGAATCTGGGCCTGCCTCCAACCCTACTGCGGCCAGAATCAATTTCCTAGAAGCAAACTCAGCTGAAAGCCAGACCGCCTTCCCCCTACCCCACCCCGGGGGCGGGCGGGGGGGCGGCCACCAAGCTGCCTGAAGCCTCCAAGGCAGCTCAAACTCCACTGTGGGAAACAGTGGCCCCCACCTTCCCTCAAGCTCCTGGCAGGTTCCAGAATAACATGGTCCCTGCTTCCAGAGACTGCCTTTTGTCTGGGACTAACAAGCTCTCCCCCTCTGTCCTGCTACTCTTGCTGCTCCAACAGGGCTCAGCTTAGAGGCCTCCTGATCTTCTGGGCTCCCCTGCAGTGTCCCGAATTCCCCCTCACAGCCCTCATCACCCTGCATTGTAATTGTTGGCTTGCCTGTGATTCTTTCTTCCCAGTCCCACCTGGGGCTGCCTGAAGACAGGCCACGAGCTGGAGATCTCCTCACCCTCCTGTACCCAGCCTGAGGTTAATGGTAAAAAATGTGTTGAATGGCAAGCAAGGGAGCCAACTTGTAAGGAGCAGATGAGGGTAGAGAGAAGAGACACAGTTCAGAGCAGAACAGGCCAGAAATCTATACTTCCCCAGTGCAGGGGTCGGGGGCAGGAGTTGGGTGGGTGTACCTGAGTCAGGGGTAAGAGAAGCTTTGAGTGTCCAGAAACGGGGGCTCCCACTGGGCTCTGGGGACTTGGGAGGAGCGTTCACCTTCCCTGAGTTGCTTGGTTGGGGTGCAGAGGAGGGAGGGCCCCCCTGCTAGTGTAGGAACAGAAAAGCAAGCTCATCTGAGCCCCCTAGACACTGTTAGGAGCTCAGGATCACCCGCCACTCCCTTTCCTGAGACCCCACATGCTATGGATTGCTGGCCAGAGCAGGTAGGGAGGTTAGTGGTGAGAGGGTATGACAGCATTTCCTAAAAGGGAGAGACAGTACCTGCAATGTTCCCTGGATGGCCTCTCAGCTGACCCTCTGGGAGCCAGACCATCTTGACCTCACCCACCTGGAGGCATCTTCATGCTCACGGAGGCCATGGCCTCACTCTGCAGCTGGGGCCTCCCACGGAGGCTTGGAGGCCTCTTGCAAAGTGTTTCCACTCTCTGGACTCCAGGAAGACAAGCTACTCTAAGAAGCAGCCCTGCCTTGTGAGGACAGTCACCTCCTCTAGGAAACCCATCCTAGCCACCCCGACCCTAGTCCTCACACTTTCTGCCCTTCTGGGCCCAGCTTGGGAGCACAGCTCGCCCTGGCTCCTGCCACCCACACCTGCCCGTGTTAGCTGGCTTGCTGCAGCTACAGGCACGGGACCACTCACATTCGCAGATGCTTCCTCAAAAAAGGCCTAGAAAGTTTTATCTTAGTTATGAGTCACTGTGCTGACAAAAGAACTCTGAGTTCACCAAGTAAAAACAGCTTGAGTGGATAATAAAAATGTGGTACATATTTCCTGATGGCTCTTAACTTGGCTCAGGGATGTTTTGCAGCGGCGGACCCAGCAGGATGACACCCATGCAGGACGCTCACACCTTTGCACACCTGCTATGCCAGGAGGGTCCTGCTCCTTAACTATGTTTCGGGGCCTCAGCACAAAGAGTAAGGAGTTCCCGCACTTGTCTAGCTGCAGGGAGCCACAGCCCAAGAGCTCAGCATGGGCGTTCCTGTCAGTGAGGGGGCTGGGCTGCAGGGAAGGCCAGAGGCTGCAGCTGGAATAGCCTTTCTGCCAAAGCCTCCCCAGAACAGGGGGGCAGCATGGGCTCCCTGCCAGAAGACCACCAGATCAGGGTCCCGTGGGGGGTGGGGAAGGGCATGTGCAATAAAGTGTCACCTGAAAGAAAGAGCAAGAGAGGAAAGAGAGAAGGATGACTTCAGCGTGCAGAGCTGGGGGCTGGAAGGTGGCGGTGCCTGGCTCAGGAAGGAGGAAGCCCAGTCGGACCAACCACGGGGTTCAGTGCTCATTCAGTCCGGGGCCTGCAGTGCCTGCCGCAGGTCTGGCAGAGGAGAAGCTGGGATGTGAGCCAGGACTTCAGGGCAGAGGTTGGACCAGGCCAGCAGGCTGACCCAGGTTTTCAGTTAGAGGTTGTTGGGGAAATAGAGGAAGGCAGCTCCAGTGGGTGGAACCATACCAAGACAGATCCAGGTGAGGTGACCAGAAAGGCGGACAAACTCACACGACCAACAACGGTTAGGAATTAAGTGGTACCTCCCTCCAAGTCCCCCTCACATCCGACCTCTCCAGAGAGGTTGTCCAGACCACTCCGCCCGGCTGGCTCACTGAGGGGACACTCCTGCAAGGCCGTCTCCCTGCCAGACTGAGTTTCCCGGTCCCGGGCTGCGTCTTGAATCCAAGCACCCCAGGCCAGGTTCTGGAAAGGCCCAGGGCTCTCCCAGTCCCCAGCGCCCCGCCCCCATTCTCCCAGGGCCTCGCGCTCAGTGCAGCGCAGGAAATGCGGGGCGATGGTGGCGCCAGGGGCAGTAGGCCGTGGTGTGTGCGGATCACCTACCTGAGGCTTCAAGCTCTTAGAGTCGGGGCACGAGAGGGAGGAGAAAGGCGCAGGACCGGCGACCGCAGGGGGCGGCAGAGTCACGCGGTGCTGCGGCGGATCGGGGTCGAGGGGACGCTGGGAGGGCGCTTGGCCGCTGGCCGGCTCCTTTCTCCACCTTTCCTGTTGAGTTCGCCGTCGGGGAGGACTCGGAACGGGAGCTGGGGGGGCAGCGCAATCATGGGCGGCAGGGACCCGGATTCTCCAACGGCCCGAGGGGCGGGAACGCAGGGTCGTGGAGTAAGACCCTCAGAGGTCTCCGGCCACCCAAGCGCTCCACCCCCGTCACCCCGCACCCCACCGCGGCTCCCGCCTCTTGGCGGGTCTCATCCCCGCCCCGCCCCCGCCTTCTGCGAAGAGCACATGGACCCCCCAGACGCGCGGAATCCACACCTTCGCACCCAGTGTGGCACCGACTGCCCGCAGCCCGCAGCCCCCCGGCCCCCGACCCTCCTCGCCATGGGGCTCGCCCTGCCTGCTCCTGGGAAGCTGGGGGCAGACCCCGCCGCTGAGCCACGTACCTGAGCTCCAGCCCAAGAGGTGCTTCTGGGCGCCGGCGGCCGCGCGGTGACATCAGAGCCCCGGGCTCCGGCTCCGGGCCCCACCTCCCGGCTCCGGTCGCCGCGGGGGAGGCGCCACGTCTGGCCACCGAGGGCGGGAGCGCGAAGCAGCGGCCCTGCCCCGGGAGCTGCCCGCCCCTTCTTAGTGTCTGAACGTACTGGCCCCGGGCTCAGGGGTGGACACTAGTAGCTTGTCGGGAGCAGGCCTCTTGCTCTGAGCCGGCGGCGCAAGAACCTCGCGGGAGGAAGGGCAGCCACCGCGCTGGCCTGCCCGCTTCATCAGCACCCCGGGGTAGGGGGGGCCAGGTCCCTGCCACCCCCCTCCCCGTCCATAGGCCCCTCTGGAGGGGGGTGCCAGGCCGGGCCCCAAGGCCTCCGGACAGCCACCCTTTCCTTTGAAGCACCGCCAAGAAAACAGACCCGCCTAGGGCTCTTCCTCTGTCCCTGAGCACCGTTTGGTTCGGGGGTCACGCACTGTTGACCAGCTCTGCAGAGGCCCCATTCCCAAAACTCTTCCAGCTTTTTCATTCCCACCGTGATTCTTCCATCCTTTTGACCCCCCTTTCTTTCCGTTCCTTTCACTACCCTGCACTGTCTAGGCCCTCCTGGCCAGCTGCCTGGACTGGAGAGGGTCTGCTGGCTTGTGTGTCCACTCCTGCTGCCCTCCGTGCATCCTTCAGGTGCTGGACATAGGCAGGCGCTCTATGGCCTGGGCAGGGGTCACAGGCTGGATGAGTCTGGCTGTCAAGGTCCTGCCTTTGGGCACCTCTGTCTTCGAAGTGTGCTCTGCATTCATCCACCCTCTGCTCCATTCCCTGGCGGTGCCCTCTGTCTCTCCCACCCCCACTCTGCACACCTCTGTCCCATGAATCCTGGCTCTGGCAAGAAATGCTCCATCCTTGGGAGGGGGCAGGGGGCCCTTTGGGGGGCCCCTTCAGCTCTCAGGTCTCTCTGCTCTTGGTGTGGGCTGCCCTCACTCTCCCTCAGAATTGCGTGCCTAGGGGCCGGGACCATGTCCCTCATCTCATCATGCCTAAATGGTAAGGGTCGTTGGTGGGAATAACTGGGACCCAGAACTCAGCCCAATGTCAAGGCTGCTGCTCTCTGGGAGCCTGGGGATCTCTGTCTTCTTGCTCTCCTAAGGCAGAGGCAGCAGGCAACTGAGCCTGGATTGTGGTTGGTGCCCTTCCGGCTCTGCTGCTGCTTCCAATGGGCTGTCTTCGGCCCCAGCCGGAGCAGGCGGGCTCCACGACCGCTGCTCAGACCCTCTGGGCCTCGAGAGCCTGCCCTTTTAAGACCCTGATTCACACGGTTGGCCTCGGAGCAGTTTCACATAGAAGGAGCACAAGCCAGCAACTAAAAGTCAATTCAAAATTGCTCATTTTAAATTTATATTTTAAATGTTATGTTAAAAAGAAACATATTTCTTGAAAACCATGAAGTGCACATGTTGTCCACAGTCATTTTTAGGAACCCACTCCACTGCCCTGTCCCGTACCTCCTTGCACACGCTGCAGAAGCTCTCTGCCTCACGCCCCAGAACACAGACGCCCTGCGCAACCCCTGTCTCCCGAGGAGGAGAGAAGCAGACCCCCACTTCCGGAAGTTGGCCTGGTGCTGTCAGCCTGACCTTGGTGTTGCTCGGAGCCCACCTGACGTGCATAGTCAAGGTTTTGGTGTTCTGTTGCACCTAAATCATTTTACAGAACACTAACATCAGATGAGGTGTAACCAGGGGGGCTCGAGACAAAAACCAAGACCACCCTGTAGTCGGATCTGGACACAATAAACCAGGAACATCGTCCATGTCCCGAAAACGACCAGACATCCGTCGTCCTGTCCCGCCTGGTAGGGGTGACTGATGTTTCCTGACCAACCGCAGCTTCAGCTTTGCTCCAGTCATTTGTCTTTCCGGAAAAGATTTGCTGAGATGCTCAGTCACAGACCGCACTTGCTTCTCAA